GCAGTTAATGAGTCCCCACGCAGCTGGACAGCTCCTCTCGGACACTAAGAACTCTAACCCCAAAATGACCCCAATTTGACACCGCAAGATGAAATTTTACCGCCTGTTAAAACCATTTCCAGCCTGAGCAAAAGGGGCTGACTATTGACGGAGGTGTGTGCCGCCTCCTGCGACCCCCATCTCACGCCCGTCTCCTGGCCCTGCCCCACCTACTTTTCCTTTACCCCAAACGTGGCAGAGCAGACGAGCCTCGAAGTCCCGGAAGGGTTGTGGAGGCTGAGAACGGAGCATCAGCAAGATACTATCCCGGACTAGAAATCAGAAAGCCTGCGTGCTCCACTGCTTTTGAGTAGTTTCAATGGGACTGCAAAACTGGGAGTTAGGGGAGACCATGAAGTTCTTACATGTTCTTCAGTTCTATTAATAAAACAGCAGCAAGTTGGTGATTAAAAGTAATCGTCCTTTGAATTCATCAGATTGACCAAGAATGGACATCGTGAATCACCTCCAACTTGATCTTGTGTGTAATTGACTGCACTGCGATGCTATTTTAAACTAACAGTTTCATAATTACGTGCAACTAGGTAAGTGAAATCTCTTTAGTCGCATGAAATTCGGGATTCTCCCTTTAAGAAACTGGTGAAATTTTAAATGACACAGATTTTCCTCCTGGAGGACTTCACTTTTAACATTCTCACACTTCTTAACTAAAGTCTTTGGAGTTGATGATTGGTTGGTTTTTTCCCTTAACAGTATCTCAAAATGTTCTATTTCTCTCTCCCTCCCACCTCTAACCAGATTGTCCTAATTACTTGCTTTAATGTATTCAATAAAATTTGAAAGTAGTTACAGAATATCAGAGCAACAGAGAGAGACAGGGAGAGAAAGGAAGAAAGAAGTTCAGATTAAAATGCCTTCTGCATCGCCCAAAGGATGAAAATACATGAAAATAGAATTCAAACTTTTTTCTTTTGTAAAGCTCAAGATGATCACGGAATAATCAACCCATTATTAGCTTAACAACTGTTTGAAAATATAGAAATCATCAATTGGTCTGAATTGTTTTTACTCGGATGCACTGCCGTGGAAGAAACACTTTGTAAAAAATCTTCGTGTAATTTTTCTAAATAAAGGCTGTAGGAATGCTACTCACTTCACAATATCAATTTTAAAAAAAGTAATGGTAAGAGAAGTAGAAGATAGCAACTTCGAATGTTTAAACTGCGATGCAGAGGTTCGGTTCCAAGTTGATTTTTACAAAAGAAACATTTTCAAGGAAACTGAGATCCTTCAAAAAAGAAAAGTAATTGGCGCCTATTGCTTACTATATAGGACACTTAAAACAATAAGAACCCTATTGGCGACAAATATGCAATATTGATAACAGGAACAGTTAGAAGAGCTAAAAACTTGAAAACTGAGTACAAACTTCTCAGCTAGCGGTGCTGCACTGGGACCGTGGATCCACCAACATAAAGACCTCTGCTAAGTCGAAAATGCTCCGTAGCGAGACCAGTTTGATTTTTTTCTCTCTCGGTCATCTTCCCGCCTCAGGTTAACCGAATTCGAACAACTACCTCTTGTTAATAAAATTCTGGAAGTCAACTTTTTCTTCTCTTTTGCATCTTTTTTTTTTTTTTACTCACCTTTCCTTATATGTCCATGAGCAACTCAGCAACAAATACGAAGGATGCTTTTAATCTTGGAGTTCTTCTGGGAAGAAAAAATGAGGTGGATGGGGAAGGACCCGCCTCCCAACATTCAGGTTTCTCACCAGTCGGCTCTTGCCGGCTTGAAGCCTGGCTTACGAGTTACTGAAAACCTGGGCTAGACTCTCATCCCGAGGCTCCGCGCGCCCGGCTGTCCTTGCTCCGGCCACCCCGGGCAAATACTGCGCGATCCACAGCCCTACTCCTGACGTCGCCCTGCCCTCGCCTCTGCAGGTCCCTCCGCACTATCTTTCTTTTATATGTGAGGGCCGATTTCCCGCAGACATCATTGTTATGATGGCTCATTTAATCAAACTGTTTAATTGCTCCGGTAATCACTATCATCATCACAGGTGCTCAATCATTCATCATTTTTGGAGGGCTTTATTGACCTCCCGAGCTCATTCCCCAACCCTATTAAAACCGAGCCAAATTTCTCCGACTCCGCTTGGAGTCTCTGCAGGCTGCTATCTAAGCGCAGTTGAGTTGCCCGAAAGCTTACAGTGAAGCAGAGAAGATAAAAGGGGAACTTAAAAAAAAGAAAGGAAAGAAAAGCCTATCAGCGTTTTCTCACTCTCTCTCATATTCTCATTCTCATTTCCTCTCCCTCTTGTCTGACACACACGCTACTTTATTCCTTTATTCTCCTTGTGCTCCTCTCCCCTGCCCCCGCCCCCTCCATCTCTCGGGAAGTCGGTCAAAGCCCAGCGCAGAGGATACGCTACTTTCTATTCTCCAGAATGGGTTCAAAGTTGGAGAAGGAGGCAGCTGTTGAGGAACAGTCTGTTTTCAATGAACAGACCATGAACCACGGCGAGAGCGAGGAGTTGGGGAGAGAGGGCGCGCTCCGAGCGCAGGGCCTGGCTGCCGGGCTGCCTGGAGCCAGGGGACGGCGGGGGATGCAGAGCGGAGCGCGCGGGGAGACCGTAGCTCCGCCCCCAGCTCCGGGCTCCCAGTGATTGACACGCTGCCGCCGGGATACCCGCGGCGCGGAGGTGAGGCTGGGAGCAGCTCCAGCCAGGGATTCGGAGAGACACCGGCTAGAACTACTTTCTACGCAGACCGTGTGGGATAGCTACCTTTCCCCCCACACTCTGATTCTTTTCATTTTCGGAAAAGTTCATTCGGAATTGGCCCTATCTTCCAGATCGCCCTAAATTGCCCGATGTAATTAACACAGCCATTAGCCAGCGGTACCGCGCCCTGGCCTCGGTGCCCCGGGCGACCGCAACAAAGCTGGTCCGGGAGTGCGGGCCAGTCCTCCACGCTAGGCATCTCTTTTCTCTTTCTCTCTCCCCCTCTCTCTCCCATGCTTCCCAGCTCTAAGTGAGATCCACTTCGGAGTCGCACACGAGTCGCGCGCGCGTGTACATACACATACATAAACACACACACACACACACACACACCCGTTGGCAACATCAGACAACATCAAGTTCCCAAACGACTCTCTCCCCACTTCCTCCCTCCTGATTCCACTGCGGCCCCCAAAGACTCTCCGTGGTGGCCCTCGTCCGCACAGCTTGGAGGGAGTGCTCTCTGAGTTAAGCTGGTTTCTTCTTGTCCTAGTGAAAAATGAATGTTGACAACAAGGGTCCTGGCTTTGCACAAGGAAGAAAGTACCACTTAAAAACAAAAACAAAACTCTAGCCGGGCGTTGGTACGGTCTGCAGATCCTGCTGCCTCTGAGTGTTAGCTGAAAGCCTTCGGGGAGCGACAGTCGGCTGGTAGAGGAGTAGGGGGCCGCGGAATTAAAAGGAACAAAAGCAGGAGCGCCATGCCAAACGTCCCCGACACGACCCCGTTAGGGAGGAGCCGGGAGTGATGGGGAAATGAACTAGAAGTTTTAAAGAAAAAAATTAAAAATCTGAAGCTGTACCGTACTTTCCCTGTGGTTTTCTGCAGTTTTCCTCTCTGCGCTCTCCCTGTCTTCTTCATTCTCATTCTCTTTCCCTCCCTCTTTCCTCACGTGCGCGCGCGCGCGCACACACAAGCTCACACACACAAACGCACACACACACACACACACACACACACACACTCCTCTTCCTCCCTCCCCTCCTCCCCCCGCGCCATCCCCGCGGAGGAGCAGCCTCGCTGATTTGCTCGGGTCTGCCGGGCTCCTGCCTCCCCTCCCCCTTCCGCCCCCCGCCTCCCCCGCCCCCCCAACCGGGGCCGTCCGATCGCACTCGCTGCATATCAGAGGCTCCGCGCGGCGCGCTCCTCCTCGCTCCCGCTCCCCACTCCCGGGATGTGTCTCCGCCGTACGACGGGCTATGGCCACCACGACTTCCGGGTTCCGTCATTTCGTTCTCCCGCCGCCGACCCGCGCCGCCAAACTGAGGCTCTTCTATAAACCAGGCAGCAGCCAACCTGCCAACACCTACTGACACTCACTCATCTCCCAGAGAGAGAAAGAGAGCGAGAGAGAGCGAGCGCGAGAGAGCGAGCGCGAGTGAGAGCGAGCGAGCGAGCGAGAAAGAGAGAGAGGGAGAGACAAAATACCTACCAGGAAAGGGGGGGAGGAAGTCCAATTTTTGCAAACTATTCGTTTTTTTTCTTGATTTTTCCCCTCCTGCTTTCTTTGAACGATACTTTAAAGAGAGAGGATCATATTATAGATACAGCGGGGGCAAAGCTAAAAGAGGGGGGAGGGGGAGGAAAAAATACAAGAAGCAGAAACCCCTCGCGGAGTTTTACTGGAAGAAAAAAACGGGTCTGAAAGATTCCTCCTCTTCATCATCATCAACCATCATTCATTCACTACCTTGACATTCCGGGCTTTGATTGACAGCTGGAGTGGCAAAAAGCCATGAAACACGACAGTTCGGTTACATGTGGGCTGCTGACGGGCCGCTCGTAACCTTCAGTTCGGGGGCTTGACAATTTTTTTTCTTCTTTTTCTTCTTCTTTTTCTTTTTTCTTTTTTTTTTTTTTTTCCAACTGAGGGGAAGAGAAGAGAAAGAGGGGGAAAGGAGGACCGAAGAGGAGGAGGAGGGGAGGGGGGAGGAGGAGGAGGTGGAGGAGGAGGAGGAAGATCAGGAGGAGGAGGAAGAAGAGGAAAAAAGAGAAAAAGAAGAAATATCACAGGAAAAAAAAAAAAAACTCTTCGTTGTCTTGCCTGGGCTTTTTTTTTTCCCCCCTAAAAATAACATTGGAAAATTGGGAGAAGTCTCCTTGGTTTGGAAAAAAAAAAAAAAAAAACAGGAATCTTCAGCCTAGATCACTTTCTTATCCGGACTGGGATATTAAATATACGACACATCCAGGAGTTTATTGGAGCGCAGACTGATGGCGCAAAGGGTAGGTTTAAATCTCCAACACTTACCTAGATATAAATCCTCTCCTAAGAGGGGCCTGTCCCGATGCCTCCTCTCCCTTCAACGCTGCTGCTGCTCGCTGCTTGATGATGGCGGCCAGTATTTAAAAAAATAGCAGCAAAATTATTCATCGGCTTCTTTTCCCCCCCGTGCCTCTGCGTGTGTGCGAGTGTGTGTGCGTGCGTGTGTGCGTGTCTGGGCGCGCGTGTTTCAGCGCTGTGCGAGCGGGCGGGCGGCGAGTGCGTGTGAGTGGTGTGTGTGTGTGTGCGAGTGCAATTGTTACACGCTTTCGCCTCGCTCCAGCTTTTACCCCAGCAGCGCGATTCCCCCGGTTCTCCTGCTGCCGCCGCTGCCGCTGCTGCGCCGCTGCCGCCGCTGCTCCCGCGGCTCGGGGCGGGCACCGGCTGCGTAGGAGCCGCCGCCGCCGCCGGGGCCGCCGCTGGGGCCGCGCTGCCGCAGCCGCTGCGCCGCCGCCTAGACTAGCCTGGGCTGCTTGTTTTGTCTCTGAAATTGACAAGGACGCAGGGAATCCGCTGCTAAATAATGTTTCTGGTAACTTTCACGTTATTCCCCCCCACCCCCCACCCCCACCCCTCCGCTCCCTGCCCCCGGGGAGGCACTGGCCCCAGTCTTCCCTCGTCCTCGGCGTTCTCGTCCTGATTATTAGCGTTTTTCTTCTCTTTATTTTGTTTCATTTCGCCTTTTGATTTATTGGATCCTCTGGAGGAGACGAAGGGGGGCTAGGGGTGGGAACCCGGGCTTCCTCCTCTCACTAACTCCACTTCTCCCTCGGTTGGCTCGCTACGGTTCTGCTGCCTCCGGCCCGAGCGGGACCTCCCGGCGCCCCTCGGTCCCCGGCCTCACCGCCCCCTCTCCCCTCTCTCAACGCTGCTCTGGGTTCATACTTTTTCTTTTTTTTTTTTTTTAATTTAAAAACACCCACCCTCCCAACTTTCAACTCCGTTGTTTCGGCTGGTTTGGTTTCTGTGTGTTCAACTCGTGCTGGGTACTTCTTTCTGACTTTGTTTTTATTTGTATTTTCCTCTCTCTTTTTCTCCTGCCTCCCCCTCCCGCCCCCTCCTCCTCTCGCTTCTTCCCTCGGCTTTCTCCCCCTCTCGTCTCGCTATTCCTTCCCCACTTCTTCGCTCGCTCTCTTCTCCCTGCCTCTTTTCCTCTCCTGCCTCGGCTCTCCCGGCTCTCCCTCACCTCCCGCGCCCCCCGCCCCTCTGCCGGGTCCTGACAGTACGATGAGCTACCCCATTACGGCGGGATGGACGGAGTAGGGGTGCCTGCTTCCATGTACGGAGACCCCCACGCGCCGCGGCCGATCCCCCCGGTTCACCACCTGAACCACGGGCCGCCGCTTCACGCCACGCAGCACTACGGCGCTCACGCCCCGCACCCCAATGTCATGCCGGCCAGTATGGGATCCGCTGTCAACGACGCCTTGAAGCGGGACAAGGACGCGATCTATGGGTAAACCAGCCCCCACCCCCTCCCGACCCAGCGGACGGTGTGAGAGCGAGTGCGTGTTTGTCTCTGTGGGGGTGAGGGGGTGGCCGACTAAGTGGGGGGTCATTGCTCCTTAGGGTGGGGGGCGAGAACCGCTTGCCTTAGGAAAGGACCGTGCGGGGGGCGGAGGGGGGTCGTTGCTCTTCTGCCCCTTGACTGTGAGTCCCGGGAAGATTTGGCTCCGTCTGCCCCCAAGGCCCCGCCACTCTGGACCCCATAGCCGGGAGTGACTGAGTCCTCACAATCTGGCCAGGGCCTTCTCCCCAAGGACGGGATTCCTGGCCAAAGGACGCAGAGCGGGGCCCCCTAACAGAGGCCCTGACGAAGGAGAAAGTTTCCTGCCCATGAGGAGCAACTTTTTTTTTTTTCTTTTCTGTTTCCTATCGAGAGTCCGGGAGTCACTAAATGCAGCTTGAGCTGGGATCAGGGCTGCTTCGGTCGGCCAGGAAGTCCTAATCACCCTCTTCTTAATTCTCTGTAAATAAAGGGGGCAGACCTTGAAGTGCAGCGGGGTGGAAGGGACTGCTGCTTGCACAGAGCCGCTCTTGAGGGGAGTGAGGGAGATGACTGGAAATTATTTTAAATTCTGAGAGAACTCAGGGAGGGCTGGGGTTGCACGGCCCCAGCTTGTACCACTCGGGCTGTCCCAGCGGAGGGTAGGTGAGGGAAGGCTGTGGGATGCGGAGGGGAGGGGACAGTCAGTAAACAGCAACTGTGCCTGAAGCAAGAGGCCGCCTGCATCCCAAAGTGTAGCTAAACCGCCCGGAGGAACACAAAGGGCAGACGCGCACGCACACTTCCAAGTTTTAAGACTCGATTTATTTATTTTTGCCTGCTGGAGAAATGTGGTCTTGGGAAGGAAGCTCTTCCGCGTGTACCGCGTGTAACTGGCCCCCACATCCAGGCTTTTACTAGAAGGGGACCAAAGAAGTTCATAAGGCGAGGGGGTGGAGAGGTTAGATTGAGGAAACATCACTGGTGAGGGAGGCGGCGGTTGTAGATGAACCGTGGGCCTCCTATGACTTCTCCTATGCACAAGTTAAAGCAATCTTGGATTTCACCGCCTCTTCGTCTCTTGGGAGGTCAGGGCTGGGTCTCAGGGGTTGGTTGGACGGCCTCTGTAGAGTGGGGAGTGGGTCTGGTTCAATTCCGGGCTCCAGACGGCCTCAGCTTATTGGATGCTTCCTTACGTTGGAACCGAGGCTGTTTATGCTCGGAGGGCTAAAGTGGCCAGGGGCTTCTCCCACCACATCTAAGGGAGTCCTGGGCTGGGCCTGGCCGTTCCTCCTTTCTGTTTCTGGCCCAGGCTCGGCTGCCTGAAGGAAGGGTTGTAAAGTGTGATGCGTGTCTGTGGTGGTAAGGAAGGAATCCGAACCCTCCAAACTTGTTGATTACAGTTCTTGCTCCTTCCCCTCTGCACCCGTCTCCGTGTGTGTGTCTCTGCGTGGCGCTGCCCGTTAGGCACCCGTTGTTTCCTCTGTTAGCTCTGGTCTTTGAGAAGTGCGAGCTGGCGACCTGCACTCCGCGGGAACCCGGAGTGGCCGGCGGAGACGTCTGCTCCTCCGACTCTTTCAACGAGGACATCGCGGTCTTCGCCAAGCAGGTCCAACCTTCTTGACCCACTAGCCCTCCTGCAGCCCCTCACTCCCTCCTCCCCTTTCCTCGAGCTTTACTTGAAAGAGGAGGAAGAGGCTGGGACACCCGATCTGTCCCTCCGGCCCAGTCCGCGCTCTGCGCCTCCTCCCCATCCTTGAGCCTGGAGGCGAATTGGAAGAGGAGATAAATATGGGTGTTTGTTTTCCCCCCAGCCAGGAATACAGGGGCTCGACCCTCGAATTAAAGTTGACCTGCTCCTAATCTGGGGCTTGGCCTTTTCCCCCGCCTGCAGCTACTTGAACAAGAATTGGGGATAGGGGCTTTGAGGGCCCCCGAGAGTGCCCGGGAGGGAAGGAAGCTGGGCGCCTCTCGGGGCTGTCGGCGCCGGCGCGGAGGTGAGGGAGGCTGCAAAACACAGCCCCGTGGACGGCAGGATAAGCGGGTACCCGGGCCCAGAGAACCGCCCTGAGATCTCGGCTCCAGCTCGGTGGTTCCAGGTACCCCTTCATGGGGCCAGGATCCGAAGGTCCAGATTCCTTTTCAACCGTCCTTCCTGGGTTTTTTTTTCCATGTATTTTACCAAAGCGCCTCTTTTCTCCGCCACTGCCCCTCCGCCATCCCACTCGCACACGACAGTTTAGTCGGTGACAGGGGGTTTTCTTCTTTTAAAATGGAGTGATAATTCATGCTGACTTTCCCCTGCTTCCTATAGGTTCGCGCCGAAAAGCCACTTTTTTCCTCAAATCCAGAGCTGGACAATTTGGTAAGGCTCACTATGGCTCGCCTGTCCCCAACCTGGGCCCCCTCCCCTGCCCAGAAGCACCCGCTTTTCCCCCACGGAGCTCTGGGGAGTTTAAGCAGAGCCCTCTTTTTGAAGCTCCAGAGCGACCGGGAGGAAGGGAACAGCTTAGAGCCCCCGCCGGGGAGCTGGCAGTGAGGGGCGGGTTGGACGTCAGGGCGCGCGGAGCCCCGGGGAGGCAGCAAGCGGGGACGCGGCGCCGAGCGCGAGAGCAGGGGATGCGCCCCAGGTCTCGGCCCCGGGAGCTAGGCGACGAGAAGTGAGTTATTTCCTCTGTTTGCCGGGGCAGCGGCCGAGCCCGGGGCAGCTTACCCGAAGGAAGTAACCGCCTGCGCGGCGGAGGGCGGGCCGGGAGGTGGGCGGGGAGGGGGGGCGAGGGGCAGGCCAGCGCAGGCCACTTTTAGGTGCGATTCTTTTGCTAATTTGCACAATTTCAATATTAAAAGTACTTAAATCCGCTTTCAAAGGCCCTGCCTCGCCATTCATCTGGAGTATTTCCTTCTTTAGTAAGGAGGGATTTCGCAGGGTGTGCTGTTCTAAAAAGCTTGCTCTCTCTAGAGAAACGACTTTTTTCCCTCTTCCTTTCTTTCTCTCTTCTTCTTTTTCTTCTTCTTCTTCTTTTTTTTTAAAGTTGGCCTGAGGTCGAGAGAGGGGACAGTTAAAGAGGACTCGGAAGAGAAAGAAGGCCTGCTCTTAGGAAGGCAGCCCTTGCAGATAGTTCAGTACACGTGAGGGGCAAAGATACTAAATGCCTTGGCATAGATTGAGTCAGATTCCCACCCCGTAGCCAATGAGGCAGAGATGATCAGTAATCACTTGGTTTTCCTGACGATTTCTTGATGTGTGGGTTTTGCCTGGCCACTTGCCTGCGTCTTCTCCCCAACCCAATCCCCTCACCATCCCCCAACTAGGAATCTCGGAGTGGCAGCAGTCACAGAGCCTTAACTCCATACTCTAAAAACTTTTCTTCCAGATGATACAAGCAATACAAGTACTAAGGTTTCACCTTTTGGAGTTAGAAAAGGTAAGCAGGAAACGACACTCCCCACTTTGATTTAGTCACTTCCCTCTCCTGGTGGAGTTGGGAGTGTTTTTAACAAACCTCCAGTCTGAGCACCTGGAGAGATTTTGAGCAACTTGTTATCTTGTCCTTCACTCAAATTGCTCTTCAAACCCAGGGGCTCGGAGAGGATGGGTGAATTAAGACAGCCCTGCCTTTTAAAGTAGCCGCCTCCCCCCCCCCCTTTTTTTTCCCCAGGCATTCAGGATTATTTTGAAATGCAGCAAACCATTTGTGTTACTGGACATTCAGCCTGCTTGCGTCTCTATTAGGCCCAGGGCATGCATTAGGTGCTAGCAGAGGGAATCATTCTGGCCAGGGTGTCTTTACCTTGCTCTTGCAGCTCAATCATTTTCTCCTGGAAACATACAAAATTCCTAGCTTATTGAATCGCAAATGCTAATGCTGTTCCCAGTTCCTGAGTCCTTACGTTTTGATGTTATCATCAAATCGGATTTTCCCCCCAAGGAGTCCCAGCCTGAACCCAGTTATTTCCAGTCCTGTTTCTGTTCCCTTTATTGTAACTTGTTGCTCAGGGAAGTCTCTGGAGAATAATATCTGCTACAACAATTGCTCTATTGTTTCCTTGCCTTCAACTATTACACCCATTAATTAGAGTTAGTTTGGAAGCCATGGCACTGTTGCTCTTTCCAAATGTAACCTTGCAACCTGATATTTTTTCCCCTTAAAAAAATGAAACAAAACCATGACAACAACAACAACAATACAAGCTGAACCCTTCACCATGACCCTCCTTCTAGGTCCATGAACTGTGTGATAACTTCTGCCACCGGTACATTAGCTGTTTGAAGGGGAAGATGCCTATAGACCTCGTCATTGATGAAAGAGACGGCAGCTCCAAGTCGGATCACGAAGAACTTTCAGGCTCCTCCACAAATCTCGCTGACCATGTAAGTCTGTGAGCTTTTGGCATTCTTTTAAGACCACTGGGCACAGCAGTTTTGAGAATTTTGTTGTAACCTCTAGCTCCACTGACTGAGTTTTCTTTTTTAAAATAAAAAATCTGGTCTCTCTGGGACTGTCTTCCTCCCTTTCTCACTACCTCTTCCACACCTTTCATCTGTATTTCCCTTTTCTTGGACCCCTTCCTTATTTATGTTGAGAATAAAAAAACCCAGCAAGTTGATAGAGTGATTTGTGCTTCTAATGTGTAAAGTTTCCTGGATTTGGTAACTTGAGTGTTAGCAAATTGTCTGCTTGATACGGTGACCGCTGCCTTTTCTGTTTTCTCAACTCTGTAATCAGAGCAGCAGGGAGAGAAGGAGGCAGGAGAGTTAACTGGACAGGATGGGAGAGAATTGGGGAGCAAGGACTGATTTCTCAGTCTCTCACGGAGATGGCAATTCTGAGAATTATTGTCAATCTTGCATTGCATTTGAAATAAAAAGAGTGAACCCATTCTAGTTTTCTGAGCTTATGCTGTATAGAAACTTATTGTCAGTGTATGAACTTACTGCCAAGTGCCTGAAGCATCTTGGTAATAAAAGACAGTAACCTTGATGAAACAAATATTAACAATGTATTACAGAAAGCTGAAGGGAATTGTGATTGAGTAAACATAGGTTAGTGGTTGAATTTTAACACTGAAAGAGTTGGTGAATGAAAACGGAGAGTATAGTAAGGAGGGACCCGTGTGTGTCAGGCCAGGAACGGAGATTTCTTTCTATTCTGTCTGTTTTTAATCCTATTTTGGAACTGATCTAGTGAGTCTGATGCTTTAAAAAAAAAAAAAAAAGCATATGTAGTGAGACTGAAAATTTGAAAAAGAAGCAAAGAGAAGAAAGATTGCAGCTGGTAGGAAAGGCAAGAGTGGCGAGGTTAAAGAGTGGGTGTGAACAGCAGTTTATTTATAGGAACTCAAGGCTGGGGGTGGTGGACAGGGTGTCCATAGATTATAGTCCATTGAACTCACAACCTAAATGATACAGGCTATAGTCTAATAACTTGATGGCTGAAATATTAATTTAGCACTCCGTGGAGTTAAATGGGCGTCGAGGCTTGAAGGTAGTTTGTATCACCACCATCACCCCCCACTCCTAGGTGGTAAGAGGAATAAGTTGAGATGCCTTGAGAATAAGTTTCTCCCCCTCCTTCTCCAAAAGTTTTGAAAATATACAGTCACAGATTTTAATGAGTAGCCTTTGTGCTCTATGGAAAGCCATATAGCCTAAGGACAAAAGTTTTAATTAAAAAAAAAAAAGAAAGAAAACGTCAGTCCCGAAGTCCAGTTCTGAGACAGAATAAATACTGTGGTGTTGAAAGCTCCTATGCCTGTCTTTACTCTTGACTTTTTCCATCACTCTGGGAGGAAAATGTTGGGGAGCTCTTTTGTGTATTAAGTGTATTCACTGGAATCAAACGGTGCAACAAGCAGCTATGGAAAGTTAATTTGCTGATATGTGGCTATATGCTGTGTGGTTGTGGTCGGCAAGACATGACACTGCCTTCAAAGTATTTGTTATTGTCATTTACTTGTTTATTTTCATTGCTTCCTGTTTCTGAATTCATGTGCATTTTGCACTATTGGGGGGACTGGGAAGGCATCTAATTACATGGTTTGTAGGATGAAAAGTCCACAGTTTTCTGCAGCAAAAGCTTTTCTCATGTCATTTCTAGGGGTCTTGACTACTTGGTTTTCTAGAATAGTTTCTTGGAATTTTTTTTCAAGTGGATATATGGAACTAGAGCATGCTGATGTTTATATAGAAGAGATAGGATAAACCAGGCTGTTTATAGAATTGGCTGGTCAACAATGCCAGTTTATGGTACTATTTGGAATATTAAATTATACTCAGGAAAGAAGTTATACCTCAGAAGATAGTGCTTTAATAATACAACAGTCATCATCTTTAAATAAAAGAATCAACTGTAACATTTGTTGCCTCTCTTAGAGGCCCCCAGTCAAGTAAATATGACAACTGATTTATTTTGAACCCATGAGGGCTTACCACCTCATTGGGCATCATAATTTAAAGCCTTTTATTTCCTAGAGTCTGAACTATAACATTTTTACTCTAGCCCCCTGCTATTTGTTTGCAAAGGAAGCAATAATTTGTTCCACCAGCAATCCGAGTGGGAAATGGTGAAGTTTGCCACAGATTTGAATTTTATGTAGGAGATGAGAGGACACCTTGGAGAGTTTTTTTTACCCTTTTTGGTACTTTGGCACCATCAGTATGTGGAATGTATTCTTTCCCAAGTCTCCCCCTACAGAGTGATCCTCTTATGTTCAGCCTCTTCTGCAGGCTATTCCTTCTTCCTCACTCCCCCCAGCCACAAAAAAGTGAACATACCTCCTCAGACCCACTACCTGAAAAGTGGTACGAGTGGGACATTTTCAGCATGTAAATGTATCCAATTTGAATCTCCAGGTTTACTTTTTCATTTGCTTTGATATGCATATTTAATACATTGCCCCAGGCTGGATCTCATTTGGTGCATGCTGGTGCAGGGGTGATGATGAGCCACTTCAGAAGGACGGAGACAGCGTGTTGTTTTCTCTTTTTTAGCTGCTGGCCCACTATTCTGATCTACTGGCTTCCTCGTGGTTTTATTTGCACATGAAATGCTGAGAACATTTCAACTTATTGGCTATGAATAATGACAGCTAAAAAAGAAGTATAGTTTAATTTGTTGTGTGCCAAGGTTTCTCTTCTGGAGGTGACAGTTTGTGACAGCTGTTTGACACCCCCAAAACACATACACCTCTATCCTTATTAAGTGGTATCAAGCTACTTTGTGTGAGGGTGTATGTGTGTGTGTTTAAGGAAGGAGCAGCAGGGAGAGAGAGAATGAAAGAGAAAAGAAAGAATACGTGTGTGATTCTGAGTAGTGGGAAGCAAAGACAGAAGCGTCAGGAGCAAAGTATTAGGCTCCAAAATAGCTTTTGATTTTAAAAATAGAAATATATAAAATTAATTGATATAATTATCTCGAAAGCAAGTATTTTGGGCCAACTATTAAAAATGAGTTTTACATAACTCTTGCCTAGTGAACCAGGTTGTTGTCATGTTGATTTCACATTCTATAATATTCTATAAATAATCTGATGTAACATAGATGCATGAATGGAAGACTGCTATAATATCTTACCTTCCATACATTAAATTCATTTGTTCGTTTCCTATTGACACTTACATGATGGGCATACTCATAAAAAAAGTTTGGAATTGAATCGAAAATAAAAGTTGCAGCATGGACTACAATGTTTAGGAGATTCATAGTGAATGCTTGCTAATATTTTTAATATTATAAAGATTTCATCTTATACTTTTATTATCATATAAGAGTAATTGTTATAGGTAGGAAACAGCTACCTGTAAGTGTTATAGTATTCTTTGGAATATTGGGGAGGAAAATATAATGGGGAAAAGAAATAGACCTCCATTTTCCATCTGCAGTTCTTGTTAAGTTTCCTAGGCATTCAAATTTATTTATTTTTTAAAATAAACTTGTCAAGAAACTACTTCTTGAAAAAAAAGTTTCAACTTGAAAACTGTTGTGGCATGATTATGCTTTTCCTAGTCTGTAGTGTTTCTGAATAATAGGTGATGTCCACATTATCTACTTTACATAATTGTACATCAAGTCTTTAGATCGAGAGCAGAAAAATGAAATATATCTTTCTATTTACATATAAAGATATTACATATCTTTAGATCAAGTTTAGATAAATGAATTATATTTGTTGCCTGAAAATGCATAGTTATATAGTTATTGCTATAATGTGCTTAAGAAATGGCGCTGTATTTGTTTTTTGGATGAATTAAGTATGGGGAGAAAATGCAATTGTATCTACTAAAAATTAATGGCAGGTGCCTAAAAACTGACTGGCTCTGATAAGCTGAGTAATAAAAGAAAAATTATTTAAATTTTTATTTTGAAAGCTATAATTTAAGTGAAGATATGCTGTTGTTTTCTTTCACATCTCTGAATGTGTCAAATTTGTCTATGTCTACACAGTTTTTAATAATTGAGTTAAGTCAAAGGGGAGAATCCCCTGAACCTCGTTCCTGACAGAATACAGGCAAGTGTCTGAAAAATCATCAGGGAATGGGCAGTGAGGAGAGAGAGCAGTCTAAGTGATTGGTCTGTAGAATATACAAGAGGAGACATTGGGATGTGAAAATAACATTAATAATATGAATGATTTATTTTATCAGATAATTTCTTACATTCTGGTGTAAGATTAGACCTCACGGTATGTTATCCAAGGTCTTGGGGGACCTATTTCAGGAAGGTTCCACCTCTGAGCCCTGTCCACCAACTCACGGAGATGTGGCCAGGGGCATAAGTTTTCTGTTGTTGTTGTGTATTGATGGCTTTTCTGTTAATTTACCATCAAGAATAATTATGTTAGTGAAATCATGTAGGTTGTGCAGTTGGAGTATGCTTTCAGAGTAACTGCAATGAGATGAAATTAAACAAAGGTGCACTTGACAACCACAGATATCCACTATCAGATGAAAAGTTTGATATTTTAAAAATTCATTTTCTCATTTTTTTTTCAGGCTTAACATTCTATTTCAAAATTACAGGAGACATTTTATAACTTGATAGTACACTAATAGTATAAGAAATTTCTATCTTCTCTAAAAGTTGCTCCATCAGAGGAGGAATCATTTGCAAAGAGTGTTTGCCACTTCCATGAGAGTTGCTCACGTATTAATTCTCAAAGCTTAATAGAGGGTGGAAGCAGGGAGATGAGGGAAAGACCCTGGTTCTATTTACATTTTTAAAGAGTGAGTCCACCTTCTGAAAGCATGCACAGTTCTTCTGAGTTCTTATGTCAACTTTAGAATAACGAAATTGAAATTCCAACATTTTTTTCAAATTGCACAATTAACGTCTTGAACTTTTGTAGGTTTGACTACTTCTTGATAGGTGTCTTCCTCTTATTTTTAAAAATGATTTTCGCACAATGTTAACTGTTGAGATGTGAAAACATCTTAAAATCATAGGAAATCTGTAAGTTACCTTAATTATGTGTACTGATGCGAACATATCTTGACTTTGTCATTTGAACATCTCGAGTCAAATTAGTTTTGCATGCTCCATGTGCTGATTAAATATCTTTATATATGTTTATTCTTACTTTCTACCTACAAACACATATTCTGAATTACTTTACAGTATTTTCCAAGTTCTTGTATTATTTTTGGCTTGGTGTTCTATATTGTGTTTTAGTTTTGTGGGTTCTAGAAAATCAAATGCTTAAAGTATTTTTTAAATAATAGAAATAAGAAGTGGAAGTGACCTTAGGGATTATTTTGTCTGACTTCTTAATTTTAAAGAGAGAAAGAAAACAAGTTCCAGGGAAATTAAGTGCATCACCTGAGGTCATGTGACAGTTGGAGGTGGCACCCTCGAGTCTTAATTCTAATCTAGGGTTCTTTCTCCTACACCACATCCACTGCATCACCTCTTCATTTGGAGTCTAAGATGAGTTTCAGATGATCTGAGGTCCAACTTGTGTGTGGTGTGGCTTCTTTTTTTAACTCCTGGAAACCTAATACTTTTCACTTCCCCATTCAGTTTTGTATTTATTCAGAAACACTTACCCATTTTACGTCATTGTCTTTTTCAACAGAAGAACCATGAGCTGGGTGGAATCATTTCAACAGGGAAATACCACCAATTTGCTGGGAATTATTAAATAGTATCCTATCGGCAGGTCTCCCCCAGAAGTGCCAAAATGGTGTAAAACATTATCATGTCCCCAATCTCTACAGCCTCAACAAAAGAGGTGCATGGAGGATTTGCTTTTTCTGCCCAGAGCTGCCTATCCGCCCTATGCTCTTTCCTAGATTTAGCAAAATTCAGTGATGGTGCTAAATCAAATTTTTTTTTTTAACTTCCAAGGGAGGAAACACTGGCAGAATTGTGTTTTCTAGGGAAAGCTGTGTGTAAATGAGAAACAGAGCGAGCTGCAGAGTGATCTCTTGTGGCCCCGCTACTACAAGCTCTCCCCATCTTGTCTCCTGCTTTTATATTAATTACAACTTGCATTATCAGCTGTGAGTCTGTAGCCCAGCAAATAGAAAATACTGCCCCTTGAGACCTAGCTTCTTGTATCTATTTTCCATCTCCTTCCATTGTGCTCCAGTCAGTATTCACTGCTTTTCTCCTGCTAACACTGCTTTTTAATGCAATTACATAAGAGCAAGAAGAGTACTGTATTTGACTCCTAATTATGAAAGCCCCTGGGAATAGAAACATGTCTCTTCCTTGCCCTCGAATGTCTTCATGATACCTGGGGCTGAAGAGCAGGACATATATTGTGGAATGCACCTAGCTGACTCCTCTCCCACACACATACACACTCTTTATTTTTCTAAGTACGTCCTGTGTTTTACATGCTTTCATATGCCACTTTGGTTTCAAGATTCACTAAACTTCTGCATATAATTTGGCAGAAAGCCAAGCAGTTATTCTTGAAGGATGTAAACTTGGAAACTATCTAGGGAGGGAAAAGAAGAAGAAAGGAGTTGTGATACAAACAAATACTTCAGTCTAAGAACAAACCAATCTTATGTGTAAAGGACTATATTGTAGCTATCCATGTTGCTTCCAATGTTTTGTGATCAAGGAGAAAGCAATTTTTATTGACCAGATTATCAATATTTATATTTGTATTTGACCACGTCACTGTGGTGTAGCTGAATACAGACAACTTTGGGGTAACTCTTCAACTTTCAAACCCCAGAGGGATTCAGCTGTTTTTCCTCCTTTCAAGTTAGATGAATATCTTGGTACTAGTTTGTGTCAGTCTTGCAAAGTAGATCATAGTACTTGAAACACACTATGGAGATAAACACCCTGTGACGCTTGTAGGACAGCATCTTTGAGGATGTGAGGAAGGTAAGGGGGAAGAGACTGGCATGGTGGGTTATACAGTGAAAGTGAACTTGAGCAAACTTCAGGACTGAGCTGAAAACCCAAGACCCAACTGATTTGGAGGAACTAGCTGCTCTAAAAGCATTATTTGTTTACGTGGCTTATTTTTCACCCCTTTAGTTTAGAGACGGCCTCCTCCAAAAAACCAGGGAAGGTAATCAACTGAGTTATAAACTTGTGAGGACTGACTTTAAAGCTCAGTACAGGTTTGACTGATGAGGACAAGACAGTGCTTTCCATTGCAAGAAGTTCCTTCTGAGTGATCCCTTGAAATCACTCTCATGTCCATACAGAAAGACTCGCTGGAGCTTCATTTGAACGATTATGTAATAGCTGTTAGATGACGTTTTCCTTAAAACATAGTTGAGGTGTTAGTAGTTTATTACTGTAATTTTCATGAGGGGTAAGGAGCTTTTATAGCCGCCAGCTTAATAAAAAGCGTGCAGTGCATAAAATTCACATCACTTGCTGTTTTGGTGATGCAAAGTTTAACTGAAAAGTTTAGCTTAGGTGACTATTATTGCAGTTTCTAAAAGAAGGCTTTAGCCAGTGTTGTTGCAAGACTAAATTCATGCCATGCTATTGTTTCTTTCTTTTTTTCTTGTAATTCTTCTAGCTCTTTATCTGATTACCATCCAGCAAACAGCTGACTCGAAGAGTCTGCAAAGCTTGAAGAACCTCTGCATTCTATTTGCTTTTAGCTAGAAACTATTGGAAGAGTTTCGAACTTAGATAAAAAACATCACAGGCATAACTTTGTCTTCATATAGGCAGCAGAACCTTGGTTTTCGTTTTATTCTGTTCAACTTTGCCCCCAAATCTATCAATACTTTCAAAAATGTATCTTTACTTTAGATATATATATACCTGTGCAGTACTTACAGTCACAAAGTTTCTGCTTAATGTTTTGCCTTTGAATCAGTGGCTTGCCTGACAGCAGTACCAACAGCTTTATTTGATAGAGATGTTATTAATCTCTAGAACTTTGGGACATTTCGCCATCTATCAAAAATGCTAAATATTAACTTAAAGTGGTTTGAGACAGATCTGTAGAGGCAGACAAATTTTTTTTTGTTGCTGTTCCAAATGAGAATAGTTCTTTATTTTTTTCTCTCTTTTGTTTCTTAACTTTATTTTGGTGAAGTTTTATGTTCTCTTTGTACGTAGGGTTGAGGTTGAGAAAAAGATAGACTGACCTTTTTTTCTGGATAAACTATATATAATGACAACAGGGCAAGATTGTCTTCAAGTGGTCAAGATGTTAGCATGTTGCCTATAGACATGTCAGTCTGTCTGAGTCCTTAGTTACCAATTCTTGTCAGAAGAAATAGTGTACTTTGAGGGACTAAGGGGCTTTTGATTTTGCTGTCAAAGTACTGCACCCCCCACCCCCACCACCCCCAACAGATTTGCTTGCCAGTAGATCTGTGGGCTTAGTCGAAGCTATCGCACACAGGTGACAAGTGTACAACGCTGACCTTAAGGCTGGTCTGTTTCATATGTTGTTCCTACTCTCTGCTTCTGCCAGAGGAAATTCCATCTCTTGCCTGCCTTCATGTGGTGCTGATAAAGTCCTTCCTGTACATTAGAATTCCTGTTTTCCTTTAAGCGACAGCAGGGTATTGGGACTGATCAGGAAAGGGGAGGAGGAACAGGAGAAGAATACACTCAGCAAAGTAGCATGAACTATAACTCTCCGCTTACCTTACATGTCCTTTAAAATGAGCAGTTCTTTCAGGAAAAAGCCCTGTTCTGTGACTTTAAACCTTCCCTGCAGCTCTAAAGGAAGTCCTCTCTAGTTTGTTAGGTGGATCACAGTTCATAGTTGTTTCATTTTCTGATTGTCGTTTGCGCACATTAAACAGCAAGGAAGATATTGATGCAATGATTAATATTATTGTCTTTGTTAATGATATAATCAGTTGACAATAATTTTGAGAGTTAATTCAGTCCCTTTTAGGGCAATGCATTTGATATGAAGGGCTGTCCCATACATTCTCCGATCTGAATTTTTAAGGGAGTTGTTGAGTTTTGTAGATGTGTTAATATTCTGAAGTGTTTGGTATCCAACAGCACTGGGACCTATTTCTTGGAAGAGTGTGCCATAATTAATTAAAGAGCAAACTTTTAGATTTTTAAGGAGGCTTTTTTTTCTAACTTTAAAAATTCACTTTATTGAAGTATAATTTGTATATAATAAAATGCATCCATTTTAAGGCATCTGTTTCAATTGGTTTTAACAAATATGTAAACTGACATAACTATCACTTCATCATGATTCTAGTGCATCTTTTCTTCCTTTCGGTACCTATTGCTGAAAAGACAACATACTGTAACATGGCATCTATATATGCCTAGTTCCACAAATACTAATATGTACATGTTTTTTTGCCTCTCTCTGCACCTTTCCCCTTGGTTCGTCATTTATGGCTGAAATGGTAACTGTGGAAAAATTCCTTGGCCTCCTGACATCAGAATCCTGCATCTTGGCGAGACCACGATGATGCAACTTCCACCCATTCAGCAGGCACCCCGGGGCCCTCCAGTGGGGGCCATGCGTCCCAGAGTGGAGACAACAGCAGTGAGCAAGGTAAAAAGTCAAGGATTTTCCTTGTGCAAAGTGGGCATGACTGAAATAACATCAGTATTTTATATTGGTACATCAGCCTCACTGTAAACAGTAGAGTTGCAGGTTAGGGAGAATAAATGGCCGCTATTTAGGGAGACAGTATTTCCTTCCCTTAACTTATATTACTCACCAAAAGCAAAACAAAAAGAGTTGTCTAATCTTTAAGCAAGCATTGCAATAACAATCGATTAGTTCTGCCAATTCTTTAACAAATTTGGTTATCTCCTCTTTACTCCTGGGTATAAGTAAATAGAATGACAGATCTTTGCTTCTGTGATGCAGTAGATTGAATTATACTATAAATGGGATATTTTATTTGTAAATCAACTATAAGGGTTTTCTATAATCAAGCAATGATGCCTGTACATGCTTACACATGATGCAAAAATCTGTTCTTATTAGTTCCAAAGTGCCACGCAAATTTTATATGGAATTGTATTTTGGGAAGATAGATTTTGAAATTCTTAGATTATTTGTCCCCATTTCTATTCAGCTGCCATGGTGAGACTTTTGTCACAAATTGTAAAAATTCAAATAATCAGAAGGCAAGGGGGACATCAACTACAGATGACAAGGAAGCCTAGAGTCATTTAAATAAATTTTACCATTTAAGACTCACCTATTGCACAGAGAGCAATTATATATTGGTAGGGTTGACTCTTCTATGGCTAAAATTATTTTTTAAAAGAAGATGCATATTGAATGTGGGCCAGGAAAGTATATAGATTTTACTTTTTAATATTTTACATTAGATGGTGTCTGATCTCCTAGGTCTATTTCATCTCTATTATGACTGTGTTTATGGCCACAATATTTAAGCATTAGACAGTCTTCCAAGTGGAGGACAGTTTAACAGCTTGAGCTGTAGTCATATATGCCATTTAAAAAATGATGGTTGATGTAGGGTGAGTGCCTTTATATTTCCAAGTTCCTGGTCATGGATTTTGGATTCCTAGTATTCTGGAAGAGTTTAGAGAAGTGTCCCTTCTAGGATGTTAAGTTGTGAATGGGTCCAACTTAGAATCTAGGTTTAAGCAAGCTGCAACTAACACAGAAATGAATACTATCAGATGGTAAATTGTGGAAGAACTGGTGAACTGTATCTATTTAGACTTTCTGTACTGTTTTTTATTAGATCACTTTGGTTGTATGTAAGAAAACTAAACTATAAAGCATTTTGAAGATGAAATATATATAAATTCAGTGAATCTCTAATGCAGTGGCTTTAATTGTTTTTCTGTGTCTTGAAGAAAGACTTCGCAGTGTGGTTAAATCTGAAAAGCTTTCTAAGACTCCTCTCCCCCCACCACTCCAAGTCACTGTGCCACAAAGGGGGAAATGTATCTATTAATAAAAACAAAACACCTTAAACATGGTACAAGAGAGGGGGAAAGGAGAAGCAGACTTAATGGTCTAATGAGGCTATCTTCCAAAGACTTGTTGTGTGTGAGGCTCGCTTTGACCTTTCACTTTGCTCAGGAGCCCAGCGCTTCATTTTTCACATTCTTGCAATTACGTTAACGCTTCAAGCATTTCTGACTCCAAGTCAGCTAGCAACACCAGGCATAACTCAACACTGTGAGTTTTTCTCCTCTCTGTAGATTCATTAACAGGTCACCAAGGTCCCAACTGAAATTTAAAACTGACTGGTTCAGTTGGGTTGGTTGAGTTATGGCCAGCGAGGTGGCAGGAGGGGACCAGAGAGAAGGAGAGGCAGAGAAGGACGACCCTGGGGTTTGGAACGCTGAACAGTTGTGGCCACAGCCAAGGCGTAGAGTTTTATCATTTTGGTTAATTTTGCTGGCTTGTTGTTTTCGCTTTTGTTTTTGTTAGGAAAGAGAAAAGCACTGAGACTGATACAGTTGGGTAAAAACCATACGCACAAACCTCTATGTTGTGGTTAGCCACACCCAGTGATGCCATGTTGAAGGATTTGTTCCCCATAGGATTTTGTTCCTTTAATCATATCTCCATGGGATTAAAGAATGGACATGGTAGCTTATGTGTTTGAGTACTAGGAAGTCAGTCATTTTACTGTATTAAAGTGTGAGGGACAAAAAACCATTTTGATTCCTGGAAAATGGAGACTCTGTGGGCATGGAGAAATTGCTACCTGGCTGACATCAGTGGCTCTGAAACACGGGTTGAAAGATATTCTGTATTTTACCAATGATTCTAAATTTCGAAGGTCAGACCTGAGTGTATTTTGTCATACTCGTGCCCATATTAGTCTTTTAAATGTGTTTTCAAGATATTTTGTCCTACCAAATTGTCCAGAGTAGCTTTCTATGGGAAAGATTAATTATCTGTTTCAGGGCAAAGTCAACAGAGATATTGACTGAAATCACGTATGCTTATCCCAGGTTAAATCTTAGGGTTGACGTTTAATGGAAAGCCTAAGAAGGAAATTTATGTTCTTCATATTAAATGTATTAAAATGTTTCATTGGGAACCAAGATTTTTAGTTTAGAAAAGAGTTTTCTTGCTTATTCAGAATTTATTAGCACAACAGGCATATGGAAAACTGTAAAATGATTCAGTTTCAAAACAAATTATGATAAACAGAAAAAATAGAGATGAATTGTACTAAAGACAATGTTTTCATACACATTTTAAATTAAACTTTAATAGCCATATGCTATAAAACAATACATGCATTTATGTTGCTTTATGATTTGGGGAATATTTCTACTAAAATGATTCATATGAACCTTTACTTTGGAACCTAAAAATATCTCATTATTTTATGACTTGATAGGGAAAGAGCTACAGTTACACAGGTGAAAGGTCATCTTTTCCTCCTCCGTGTTTGTGCAGCAAACCAAAAGGGGGGGAGGAATCAAATTTTAAAAATATTGTAAGAAACAAACTTGATAAAATGTGAAACCTGACTTTACTGTCTCTTTCACACAGCACATGCCTAGCAGTAAACTACATAAATATGAACCAGACTTTCATTCACTCTGATTTCTTTGGCTAAAAGCAGCCAAATGGAGTTTATCTTGTTAGTCACATGAGAATGAAGAAAAAAGTCTGTTTTATTTTTCAGGGATAGAATTAGGGTGCAGACTGGGTCTCTGGGGAAGTAACTGGCCCTCTTTGTGTCTGGCTTCCCATCAGTAATAAAATGGGGCTTGATAATAAGGCGTGGGGTCCCTAATTCTGTACCTGCTGAGTCAAAAGCTGCTTTGTATTTCATTGTGGGTTTTGCCCAGAGTAAAGACTAGGAAGCAGCCCCCTTGTTCTTGGAGCACTTTGAGAGCCTTAGATGAAAGGCACAATATATGTACAAAGTATTATTATTATTGATGGGTTTGTGTAACTCCCATTAACGCTGATGGGAGTTACGCATGTGAATTGGCAGGAGAATAGACCCCTCAGTGTTTAGAGCACATGAAATTTACATTTTTTCCAGTGCTGTAATTGAGATGTTGACAAATTGGAGAATATTGATGAGCCTTTGTTTTAAGTATTTCGTGCCAAGTTTGTTTTATTTTTTCCGGATTTGAACAATAGTATGGGTTCAGCAGCAGTGAATAAAAAGGGCAGAGTAAAGATAACTTTGTATTTCAATATTTTGATGTGCCAATATGAAATAAATTGTCTTAGGCAAATGGAATATGCTGTTTTAATCATTAGCTAGGCATGAAAGAAAAATTGATGTTGACATCTTTGCTGTAAAATCGTTGTAATGGGGCCTTCCTTACAATTCATTTTTGTAAAATTCATTTTGTACATTTTGCAGCAATTGAACAATCCCTGCACTGTGAATAGGCAGGATTCCCAGAAATACCGAGACAGTTGGCCCAGTAACTGCTGAGCTCACACTGCACACCACACGCACGTTAACCATACTGTTGCCAGAGCCAGTTTAACCTAAATCCATTAGTATTTAAGCATCAATGCATCTCTCATCTTTCAAGACACAGGGCTGTACAGACCAGCACAGTTCCCCTCAACTCTGCCACCTATGAAACCTCTCTTTTGATGTCTCTATTATCCAGGCAATGAGACTAAAATTCCCTAACTAGATATTATGCAGTTCTTTCGCAATCATGGTTTTGAAATCTAAAAATACCCACTATAGATTTAACGTAAATGATTATAGGTAAGCAAAAGTCTAACACAGGCTTACCCTGTTGAATTATTACATAATGCATGAAATAGTATTCTTTGCCACCAAGTATTCCAGTTATATAGTTAAAAGATGGGAGGGAACCCTCAAACCCACTTATAGTGGGTCCTGAATATGTTCTACTGGGATTTCTTATTCAGTCTAGGAAAACTCTGTCAATGGAATGTTTTCATAGCGGCGGCAATCTCTTTAAAATAACCCTAAATACAATATGACAGATGCCATCTGGCATAATCTTTTGCTAGTTGCTTTTAACTTTTATTTTTCCTAGAGCTAAGTTCATCCAAAACTGGTCACTTACTGTTATGATAAATATGGTGACATTTCTTTTCCTTCCTGTCCTAATTGTATCAGAAAATTCACTGAGAATATAATTGAGAATTGAACATTGGCACAGAAGAAGCTGTTGTATTATAGGATATTTATGTTGCATTTTCATACTTTTTTGGCTCCCCAAATAAAATCAAAAGGAATACTCTCCTTAATCATCAGCCAACATCCAAATAATTTCTGTTGATTTTCTTAAAACGTTTTAGAATAGCAACCATTAGAAATAAAATTAAACTCTTCTAATAAATAAATGCTCTAGGAGCATGTAATGGTGCCCATAAATGCTTAAAAGCTTTCTATAATTGCTGTTAATTTTGAGTAATTTCTTCCTATATGTATCAACTTACTTGAAAAGCCTGGAGTTGAGATTTCTAGATTTTTTTTTTTAACTTAGTCATGTAAAGGGATGTCTCCTGATGCCAGTTAGAGTTTAATTTAGAGTAGTAATTAAACTTGAATACTGCCTCATAAACAAAAGATAAACAATAAACCAGCC